AACCTGCCTATTGTTTAGAGGAAAATTCAGCCATGGGGGCGAGTTCTGTTCCAGTTCCAGATTTGAAGAGTAACAAAGGCCATCCATAGACTTAGAGTTCAACGACACTATCCAACCAGGAAGCCTGGTCTTTTTTTTATTATGATTTTGAGTTTTGTACTACATTCTCCTCCCACTCTATCCAGAACCGTCTCGTGATCCCTTTCAGAGCAGTTACTTGTGGTAGCCGGGCACCATCTAGTTCTTCATGTCGCTGATGTTCATGTGGTCCATTGGAGTCATCGTTTCCATGCAGCTTTGATTTTCATCACTCTTCTTTCCTCCAAACAGGGAGCGGGCGAGGGTTGCACCTTAGATGGCTGCTCACAAGCTTAAAAGAGCCCCCACTGGCTACCCACCAATTGTCTTTGTGGACTATGGGACGCCAGTTTCTCTTGATGCCTGCCCCCTGAATCTATAGTCCTGAGCCCCCAGTCCCCAGCAACTCATTCCCTCATGTAGTTAGGTTTTGTCGAAGAAATTTGCAAAGTTTTGCCCTCAGTATGTTCTACCACATTATACCAAAAGTAAAGAAACCCTCATGTGTTGTATCCTCTGTTCAACTTACCTGTATATGTGGATGAACTCCTACCCTCCCGCTCACTGTTCAGCCTTTGTGTGTATTCAGGCATTTACTTGTAGGTCAGTGTGATTGCAGGATTGTGTATGGAACCGGCTTTACCTCTACAGCCTTTAACTCTGGCAGTCCTCCCAGTGTTTCTGGCCAATACATGGACACGGCAAATTCACTGAGACAAAAATCGATTAAAGGTTACCAGAAGGAACTGGTGGGGGCTGTGGAATGGGGCATGATTTTTTTTTAAAGAGATCAAGAGAAAGACTCAGTTTGAAGTCCGCACATACGACCAAAGGAAGTCCTCACTTCTGAATGCATTCTTGGTCATTTTGATCTCTTAATTCCAGAAGAAAGGTGGAGGGAGCTGTAGAGAGCCGTCAGTCCATCCAACCCTTTCATTGACGTTTTCACCTGCTCGCCTCTTCAGTCTTTTCCCAGGGAGCCCTTTGCTGACTGATTTTCTCACGCTCCCTCCTGACTCTGGTTTGCTCCAGAGTTGAGGGTGTTGTCTCTGTTCTTACTCATAAAGACCCAGGTTGGTAGCTGGGATGAGCTATTTCCGGATTGAGCCTGTTCCACTTCTTGCTCTCATGTCCCCTACCTTCCCCCAGCCCCCTAAATTCTCACGTTTGACACAGCTGATCTGAAGCTAGGGCAGATTCCACTTGACTTTCTCTCTACAACTCATTTTACATTTTCTTGGCATGAAGGTTGTAATAAGAAGCCAGTTAACAGGAGGGGAGATGTCGGAGAGGAAGAGGGAGAGGGAGGCACTTTATGCTCGCATGAGTGGCTCATCAAGGTTATGACTTCCACATCCTGTTAGAGATCCTGTTTGTTCCTTTGCCAGTCTTTTAAAACCACTGTGCTGCAGTTGAACCAGGCTCTTGCACGCTGCCACCACACTATTGACACAGTTGCGAATCGGCATGGTGTTTTCTCAGTGGATGTGCTCAGATCACACATTGCCTAGCTTCCGCTGGCTGTCAACCCAGGGGGCTGGTTTCCTGCCCTAGATATCAAGTGCAGTGAGACCAGAAATCGCATATGTGAATGGCTTTTAACACGTAGACCTTAGTCTCTCAGTTGAGATCAAAATTAACTCTGGAGGAGGGTCCTGGTCTCCTTTCAACATGTGTCAGCCTGGTGTTCCTTGGAGACCTCCATGTGTCTTGGTGACAATCTTCCCCCGGGTCTAGAAAGTTCTCAGTGCAGGGATCCCTGGTTCCAAGGACATGCTCCAATACCAGCTCTTCTTTCTTGGTGGTACTGAGAGAGAGGTGGTCTCTCTCTCTCCTCACTTGATTTCTTTCTTGTTTTATTTCTTGTCAAAGATGGATGAAAGCCACACTTCGGGGAAGCTCCCCGTACATCAGCTCTGGGCTGGAACCTGAGTAAGGGTGTGGCGCCCCACCTTCATCCTTCCTTCCTCCCTCATGAAAGGAACAAATGCAATATAATTCTGCCTCATTAACTATGGACAGAGATTCGGATTTATAGCACGTAGGACAATTACATTGGATCACAGATGGAGAACAACCTCCCAAATCCTGGGAATCATGGTGTAGCCAGGTTACCACCAGCCCTCAAATCCTGATTTTCCTCATCTCTGTTGTTGTCTTAGTGGTTATGCATTGAATTGCAAACTGTGAGGTCAGCAGTTCCAAACCACCTGCTGCTCCTCGGGATAACGATTTAACTCTCTACTCCCATAACGAGATGCAGTCTTGGAAACCCACACGGCCAATTCTACCCTGCCCTATAGGTTCACTATGAGTCAGAATCGACTCGAGGGCTATGAATTTGTTTTTGACTTGGTGGGGGTGGGGGTGGGGCAGCAGTAGAGTGTATATTGACTGGAGTGCTTTATATTTTCTAAGGAAAAAGCTCTGGTCCCCAAAGCTGGATTTATGTACACAAAAGGGAAGGCGTGGGTAAATCAATGAGTTTATGGCAACTTCTTTTGTGAATCTCAGTGCTGTTCACAAAGGTGAGCATTTCACCTCCGTAGCTACTCACTGGCTCGGACTGTGCTCCAGAAAGCAGGTGTGTGGGGAGTGGAAAGACACTCGTAAAGGATAGCAGGTATCGTGGCCCCGAATTCTGGCTTTCCGTGCCTGCCTGGGATGCATCCTGTTGTGTTGCGGTAGTCCAGCATTCTCATTTTGTTGGGGGTCGCGTTCCACTAGCCAGGCCTCTTTCGCAGGCTTGTTTTCCCCTGCCTTTTAGCATCCTCTGGTGGTAGTTTAGGCTAAGTTCATCCAGTCAAAAATACTGAGTTGTTTTCAAAAGAGTAAGATCAGAAAAGCATCCTTTTGCAACCCTATAGGAATAACTAGGATCCCAAGTGACCCACCAATGAGGGCACTCAGCTGCTAATGGAAAAGTTGGTGATTTGACTCTGACAGAGAAAAGGTCTGGCAGTCTGGTCCCGGAGAAGTGACAATCTAGGAAAGGCGTTGGGTAGTTCCGCTCCATCCTTGTAGCATCACCGTGAGTCACAATCCACTCAACAGCACACAAGGTCGTTGTGTGCTAACTACAAGGTCAGCAGTTTGAAACCACTGGCTGCTCCCGGGGCTGAAGATGAGGCTTTCTACTCATAAAAAGTTATAGTCTTGGAAACCCACAGCGGCCATCCTACTCTGTCCTGTAGGGTCACTGTGACTCAGAATCAATTCAATAACAGCGTATTTCTTTTGAACAAAAATTGTCTCAGGCAAGGCTCTTGAGTAGATGTCAAAGCCACTGGTGAAGGTCGGGGATCAGGACTTTCACACAGTCTCAGAGGACCCCAGCCCACAGGCTGCTTAGTGATTTCAAAGGGGATGGGGGAGGACTTTTAGGGATGGAGAGATCTGGCGGAAACCACCTTAAGCAAGTGACTAAGTGTAGCATCACCCATAAGAGGGAAAACACACATCTCGTCCCCCTAATGTGATGCCTGTGCGATATATGAGGATAAGTCTGAAAAGTAGGGCTATAAAAATCCTAGAAACCTTTATTAAACAAAAATAGCAAAGCGGGAAGCATATTGTGTCTCAGATGCCACCTATGTGGGTCTACAGTGCTGTAGGTGGTGTTTCGGCCTCTAGCTCTTCCTCCAAGAATCCTGTGCTCTGCGACTTAGACCACATCAACGCAGCAGTTTGGGCCTCTTTCAGGGACTCAAGTTATGCTTCCCTTGAAATGTCCTTTGAGGTTCAGCAGGAAAGAAGCCTGAAGGGGCCCTATCAGGACTGTAGTTGGATGGGCTAAACGTTCCCAGTGAAATTGTCCTAGGGCAGGACAGCCCTGGCTGTCCTTGGAGAATGAGCAGGTGCATTGTTGGGTTGGAAAACTCAAGTTCCTTGGCACAGTTCTCCTGGTCTTTCCCTGACCAGTGCAATTTTCATTGTTCTTCAACTGCCTTGTGAAAAGCTACCCAGATTGCTCCTTTGGGACCCTTCCCCAGATGGTCACCACCCCCCTCGGAGCTGACCCCGTTGCTGTGAGTGCTCTGGCCTGGCAGATTCCCCTCAGAAGTCTCTGGTGTCCTTGGACCTCTGTGGTGAAGGTCCCCTTAGGAGCTGAAGATAAGAGTATTCCTGAGAGGACTTGTCTGCAACTACTACTGATGGTAGACATGTGTTTAAACATGGTTTGGAATAAATCCATGCACTTATGAACTAGAACCCCAAAGGTAGCAATACCTTTTGACTTTTTCACCTATTTTCTATGTCATGAAGTACTCGACGAAGAGGGCGGGGGATTATGGGGGATGCCTCTTCTGGGTGAAATCAGACCCAGACAGGAAACTGCAGCGCGTGTTCTTCGTCTTCCACAGCAGAAGAGGTATGACGGCGTTCCTAGGACAACTGGAAGCGCGCGTTAGACTGTGAAGGAGCCCTGGTAGTGTAGTGGTTACAGCAAAGGACCTGGCTGCTAACCGAAAGCTTGGTGGTTTGAATCAGCCCATTGCATGTGAAGAAGAGGTGGCAGTCTGCTTCTGCGGAGATTTGTTGCCTCGGAAACCCTGTGGGTAGTTAGTTATAGGTTGTTGTTTTTTTTGTGGGGGTGCACTGAATAATGATCCATGGCACCCTGTGTGGATGTGATTATGACAATGTGCTAAGGTAGGAAAGCCAAAGCAATGTTTAGGATGAATTGCTGAAATACTTAGGATGAATTGTGCGTGCCGTGGCCCTTTTGTTCCTGCAGCTTTTGAGTTGGGGAACATTTAAAGCATACCAGAAGGACATTTAGCCAGCTGAACTCTTCTGTACACACAGCAATGACTGCCGTTTGGCTTGGAGTCGTGTGGCTCTCCATCGCGAGCTCTTCATCCCGGTCCGTAAGCAGTGGTTCAGTCAGGCTCATTTTGGGCTCCCTTTTTCACTTCCAGATTACCACCCATTGTTCGAGGAGGAGCCATCGACAGATATTGGCCCACTGCCGACGGCCGCCTGGTGGAGTATGACATCGATGAGGTGGTGTATGATGAAGATTCACCTTATCAGAACATTAAAATCCTGCACTCGAAGCAATTTGGTAATATTCTCATCCTCAGCGGAGATGTCAGTAAGTATTTCATTTGGGCCCCATCTGTGGAGCAAAGTCACGACGGGCTGCATGATGTTGTGTTTCCATCACGCCGTTGTCGAGTTGTCCAAGTTTGCCATTGGCCCTGTTGTTTTGTTGCGATGTACACTGATTTGTACTTGTTGGGAAAATGTATAGGACACAACATCTGCCAGTTTGACATTTTCCAACAGTCCAGTTCAGGACCTACCAATTGGCGTTGTGTTAGCCTGTGGATTATCTGGCGTTGTGTTCTATGTGGATTATCTGTGGATTATGTGGAGACTGTGTGAAAGCTCATGAAGATCAGCTTCGCCCCAACTCTTTGTCTTCCTCTTTCTTTGGCTTAGTGATGAATAACCCGGATTGTATTTTGAAAGAAAATAGAATGGATTTAAAACAATCAGACCTAAGTACACAAAGTAGTATATTAACCGAAACTCAGCATTGAGGCTTCTGCAGCAATCAGTTCCTGGCCAACCTAGTTTCATGTAATGCGAGTCCACTTTCTTCCTCTGATGATATTAGTATAATTTAATTTTGTTGAAATTACATATAGCCAAGCAGGCCCCGTTTCAACAATTTTTACAGGTACAATTCAATTACATGGGTTACATTTTCCATATTGAGTTATGTTTTTGTTATCCTTTTCTGTTTTTCTATCCCTGTGATATTAAGCCTCCCTGTCTGCTAAGTGGTCCATCTAGCCTTTTGAGTTAGTTACCTCTCTCTGATGATATTTTGAAGCAGCTCACCGATGTCCTCCTTTCGTTGGTAAAGACTTGAGTGTCAGAACATTCTTAAGACTGAATTTCCACGGATGAATTCCATTATCTTAGGTAGCAGCTAAAGAGATAATAAAATGTCTTCAAGTATATATGCACACACACTTACAGACACACAAATATACTTGTTAGAAAACGTTGTGCACTGTTAACTGTTTTTAAAAATTGGAAAGGGAAAAAAAATGAACAGTTTCAGCTAGATTTCAGCACTTGGTAATATGACTTCAGTTGTTCTTTGGCCCGTGTCATGTCACCATTTTTGACCTTTGTTTCCCTAGATTTGGCAGAGAGTGACATGGCGTATACCCGGGCCATTATGGGCAGTGGCAAAGAAGATTACACTGGCAAAGATGTCCTGATTCTGGGCGGTGGCGATGGGGGCATATTATGCGAAATCGTGAAACTGAAGCCAAAGATGGTCACGATGGTAGAGATATCCTTTGTTGTGGGAGAGAGCAAGTCCTCCACAGGCGTCTTTGTATTGTCTTACTTCTTTTTTCGTAGGACTTTGACTAATGCCACTGCAGCCGCTAGCGCTAGCCCAATGTGTTCTAAAGACTGCCTTGAGTATCTCCACTTAGGCTCTGTGTGTGTTCGCCAACCAAGAGGCAGAGAGAAGGTAGCTAAAGATAAAAGTACAAGTAGCCTTGATACCGTGATTACTGCTCAGCGATGGCCGGAATGGCCTTCCTAAGCCTTTTCATGTGAAGGGGAAAAAATGCAGTTCGTTTTGAGTGTTTTCAGTGGAAAATATAAAACAGTATCTCATTCTTTTTTATTTCTTTCAATTTATGGTACTCCATATAGTATTATAAAACGTTTATGTTTGTCTGAACCTTTTCTGTGAAAGTATTACTATTGCAGACTGCTTTGGTCCATTCAAATTCAAGGGGATATTTCTCCTTAACCTGTTTTGAACATTGACCAAATGGTGATTGATGGGTGTAAGAAATACATGCGAAAAACGTGTGGCGAAGTCTTAGACAATCTTAAAGGAGAATGCTATCAGGTAACTATGCTTTCTGCAGGCACTTTATTATTAAGTCAGCCAATAATGTAATTGATTGAAGTGTTTGGAATTGTGCTGAATTTAGACAGCTTTAAGTATAATTGGTTAAAAAGATCCATAGTTCCTCTTATGGATGCTATTTGTCTCAAGGGTGGGTATGTACATAGAAAGGAGAGCTCATGCACAGCGGTTACATGCTCAGCTGCTAACTGAAGGGTCTGGTTTCAACCCACGGCTGTTCCACGGGAGAAAACCCTATAGGGCAGTTCTACTTTGTCCTAAGTAGAATCCACTCAATAGCAGTGTGTTTGATTGGAGGTTTATATTCAAATAGATAGGGTCCCTGGTTGGATTGTGATCTATAAGTCCAGCAGTTTGAAACTACTAGCCATTCTTAAGGGCCAAGACACGCTTTCTACTCCACGAAGAATCACAGCCTCAGAAGCCACAGGGGCAGTCCCAGCCTGTCCTATAGGGGCGCTATGAGTGGGCGTCGACTTGATGACAGTGAGGGAGGAGGGTGGTGCAAGTGGTTAAGTACTTGGCTGCTAACTGAGAGGTTGAAGGTTCAAGTCCACCTCGAGTTGCCCGGAAGAAATGCCTGGTGAGTTTCTGAACAATCGGCCACTGACATTCAGAGCATGATTCTCTGATACACACACAGGGTCACCAGGAATCAGAGCCAACTCCTTGGCAACAGCTTCTTACATCCATGTAATACAGAAAGACACCTCTAACTCCACATTCCTGGCATTTAGTACCATTTATTCATTCAGTCAGTAGAAAAGAGACCCCATGTCGGTCTTTAAAGATGCAGACAATAAAGACACAGGCACACCAGCCATATGAGGGAGGCCATTAGCAGGAGGTCAAATTGATGTCCAAGGAGTCAAGTTGGGAAGCGAGTGAACTAAGGCCTGGGATACAGGAAATGATCACAAAGTCCTGGTGGTTGGCAGAACAATACATCACATTTAGCAGGAAGAGGACCATGGCTGGGATTCATATGTTACAGGAGAGAGAAGGGCTTACAAAATTGGTCCAGGGCCTTCCAAGCAAGGCAGTCAGGGCATGACTCATGACCATGTGCCCCTTGTGTTGTCTTCAGTGTGATGACTACCACCAAGGCTGCGTGCAAGCAAGCCCCTGAGAGAGACTGTCCTTCCTTGGGCAGGCTGGAGAGGATGGAAGTCATTACTTTCTGATGGACTCTGTTTGAGGGCAAGGAGATTGACATTCTTGGTGAATGATCATGAAATTCAAAGGAGACTTCATGTATGTGAGGACTCTGCACATGGGTTGTGGCTGATCACTGTCATGCATAGTCGTCTGCAAACTGCGGGGCTCAGAATTTAAGCTCTAACACAGCAAAGATGTCTGCATCTTTTCCTCACCTGCTGGCCTATATTTTGGCTCTATAACAGCCATTCTCAACCTGTGGGTCGCGACCCCTTTTGGGGGTGGTGGGGGTCGAACGACCCTTTCACAAGGGTCACCTGATTCATAACAGTAGCAAAATGACAGTGAAGAAGTATCAACGGAAATAATTATATGGTTGTGGGGGTCACCACCACATGAGAAACTATTAAAGGCTCATGACATTAGGAAGGTTGAGAACCACCGCTCTATAATCTCTGGGGCTGGGTTTTTCTGTGGGAGTTCAGGTGCTTACTTGATAGGAAAAGATACTTTCTGATAAACAAATTAGTTTTTCTTAAATTCTCCTGTGCTTGACAGTTGACTACTCATTACTTCCATAGGCCACATTTGCGTTTTGAGAACACCTCTATGTTTGGTTGGTGCCTGTGTCTACATTACTTGTTAAAACAAGGTATCCATGCAAATACATATTTTAAGAATTATAATTGTGTATCTCCAGATTCATAAACCATGTAGATAACCAATCTATTCTTCATGTTCTACACCCTCCCTCCGCATCTTTCCAAATGTGTGGCTATCTTAGTGGGATTTCATGGTATATCCATGCATCTTAGTTTAACTTGAGGCAATTTAGTGACATTTAATGCAGTTTCTGAGCAAAGAGGAAAAGAGCGGAGTGGATTACACATCAGTGTGCTAATCCCTAGGCCAGCAGTTTGAAATCACTAGCTGCTCTGAGGGAGAAAGGGGAGTCATTCTACTCGTGTAAAGAATTAAAGTCTCCTTAAGAGGAGCTGACCCCAAGGACTCAATAGAAAGTTAATGTCTAGAAAACAATGATGGCAACATATATACAAATGTGCTTGATACAGTTGATGTATGGATTGTCACAAGAGCTGTAAGAGCCCTCAATAAAATGTTTAAAAAAAAAAGAAAAAAAAAGAATTAAGTCTCAGAATCCCACAGGGGCAGTTCTCTGCTGGTCCTATCGGGTCTTTATGAGGGACAATAGCCAAGGCCCATCTGTAAGCAATTGGACATCCCCTTACAGAAGGGTCGTGGGGAGAGGACGGGACAGTCAGTGTACAGTATAGCACCAATGAAACATACAGCTTTCCTCTGGTTCTTTAATGCTTCCTCTCCCCCACTAGTATGACCCCAATTCTACCTTACAAATCTGGCTAGACCAGAGCATTTACATGGGTACAGATAAGAGTTAGAAACACAGGGTCTACAGTACAGATAATCTCCTCGGGACCAATATTGAGAGTAGCCATACCAGGAGGGGAAAGGGAAGGTGGGGGAAAGAGGGGGAATCCATCACAATGATCTACATATAACCCCCTTCCAGGGGGACGGACAACAGACAAGGGGATAAAGGGAGACATCAGACAGTGCAAGACATGAAGAAATAATTTGTAAATTATCAAGGGTTCATGAGGTAGGGAAGGGGAGGGAGGGGAAATATGAAGAGCTGATAACAAGGGCTCAATTAGAAAAAAGATGCTTTGAAAATGATGATGGCAACATATGTACAAATGTACTTGATACAATGGAAGTATGTATGGGCTGTGATAAGAGTTGTACGAGCCCCCAGTAAAATGATTAAAAAAGAGAATATATTTCAACCCCCCAAAAAATAGAATCTATCTATGGCAATGAGCTGGGAGATTTTGCGAGCAAAAATGGAAAGAAATAACTACTGCTATTTCTAACTAGGAGGGGGCTTCAAAGGGCCATGGACAAATTCCATTATCTTTTCCATTTTTCCAAGCTTCCTGACTTTTGAAAGCTTAAAAAGGGAAAGGAATTCGGTGCTTCGAGCAGATAGCAGCTTTACTTGGTGATGAAATGAAAATTACCTTGTAGAAGGGGAGGAGTCAGGAAACGGGCCAGATCACCTAAAGCGCTTTCCAGTTCATCTTCAAACCTCCCCCTCACACCCCCGTGGGTAGCAGTTCTAGTTTATGGACGAAGGTGAAGCTTATCTAGTTGAAGGACATGGAGTTATAAGGGGTGGGGGGCACTTTAGAGGAGGCGGGCTTCTACCACCTCTTATGGGCCATGGGTTCTTTATGTGGACTAAGAAAACACACAGAGCCATGGTGCCCAGCAATTCGAAGTAGAGTATGTGGCAGAGACGTCTAGGATCCACAAAACACTCTGGACCTGACCGCTTTTGTGAAGGTGGGGTGCCTTAGCTGACATTTTGGGGAGGGAAGAAGCAGTGGTTTTACTTCAAACCAGACTCTTGAGGAAGGAAGTTGGATGTCTGACTGCATCCTCCTCCTGGCCTTCTTTCTGAACAGAATGCCCACCACGGGGAGCCCAGGGACCCAACTGTGGGGCTGTCTAACTGGGGGTGTGGTTGGGCATGGCTCCTAGTGTGTGAGGCTCAAGAGTGAGCCCCCTGGCTATTAAAAATCTGCCCTTACCAGATACATGCAATATTTGCACCTGCTTAGCATTTGAAAATCTGCTAATGACTGTAGTTTAAAAGCTTTAGAAAATAAAAGACCTGTTCCAAAGTGCCTGAGTGTAGCCTTTACTACTAATTTCATTAAGGCAGTGCAAGAAGAAAATAAAGATTGATTTTTTTATAAGCATGTCTAAAGTTTCTAAGTAAAGCCAAGAGTAAATTAAGTTTAGCGGTTTAGGTGAAGAATTCTACATTCTGTCCAAGTAAGATCTGGTTCAGAAAGGTAAGGCCGTGAACCTGAAGAAATGCCTCCATAATCCATGAGAGGGCTAATTGAAAGGAGAAAGCAAATATGACATTTGCAGATGACAAAGCAGCTGATCCCATTCAAGGGGGCTTCAAACAGTTCTCAGGAAAAATCCCATTATCTCTTAAGCCTGTTAGCATAGCAGTCAGTTCTTTACAAAAATGCTGCTTCGATGACATAGCACTAGAGGGAAGTTATTGAAATGTAATAGAAGCCGATGATCAGAAACCTACAGGTAATGTTATATTAAATGGCAAAAGGTAGTGGTCTTTCCCACAAAAAGCAGGAGCATGGTGAGCATTCTTATCAGCACTTTCATTCCACTTGGCAGCATTAGTTACTGTAGAGCAGAAAGATGAAAACAGTATACATAGAGAGAGGACCCCAGGATCCGTAGATAGGAAAGCTAGCTTAAAAGCTAACTTAATTGTATGTGCCCACAATGTATGAATTTGGTAAAGCAATGTTTTGGGTTTTTTTTTTCAAACCTTCAATGCTAAGTAGAACAGTAAACTGAATATAAATGGAAATGGAGCCAGCAGAAATCTTATTCAAACTATCAACCCACCCAAAGCAAACCTACTGCCATTGAGCCATTACGTACTTAAGAATACATTTAACAAGATTAGAATTGTGAGGCAAATATGAATTATGTTAAGCTTGTATTGAAAGATATCAAAAAAGGCCCCAAACACAAGGAGAAATGTCAGAACCTAGTTGATTTCGTTCCTGATTAGAAACTATTCCAAGTAGCATCCCCCAAACCCAACCACACTCAATGCTATCAAGTCGATTCCTACTCAGCGGCTCTATGGGTAGAGTAGACCTGCCCCTGTGGGTTTCCAAGGCTGGAGCCGCTAGTTGCTTTGAACTACTAACCTTCATGGTTAGCAGCCCAAATCCATTGTGCCAACAGTGCTCCATCAGAATCCCAAGAGGGAGGGAAGGGGTGTGTTTAGCATTAGATCAAACAAGTTTTTGAAGTATCTAAGAATAGCCAGGAAAATTTTGATATAATCATAGTACAACCTTAGAGTTAGCAGGCAAATGATGGGTTTGGGCCACCCAGGATGACTATAAAACAATAATAGAAAAACAAGAGTAGATTAAAACTCAGTTCTTTTTCAGAAAGGCAGAGTTGTGAGGGTAGGTGTAAGGAAGCTTCTAAGAAAAACCTGAATAGGTTATCTTAGGGAATTGGGCCAAACATTTGGCTTCTGACTTGTTAGATGAGAAATTTTAAAGACCTCATATAACTGGAAAAATAAGCAAGGCTAACTCTTGTCTAATTTACGCTGTTGCCTCGCGCCTGATGAATGCCCAAGGTCTAAAACCCAACATTCAAACTTGCCACCATTGAGTCCCTTCTGACTCAGAGCAAGGTGATAGGACAGGGCAGAACTGTCCCTGTAGGCTTCTGAGACTAACTCTTCACTGAAGTAGAAAAGCCTCAGCTTTCTCCTGTGGAGCAGCTGGTGGTTTGGAACTGCTGACCTTGTGGTTAGCTGTCTGAAGGCAACGGTGATACCACCTGAGCTCTGCCTGAATACACAGCTTCAACAATTGAGGTTAAAAAAGCCACTGCCATCCAGGGGATTCCGACTCATAGGGACCTTGTAAGATAGTGGAGAACGACTCCTGTGACTTTCTGAGACTGCAAGTCTTCACGGGAATAGAAAGCCTTCTGAGGGGCGCTGGTGGTTCCGACCTGTCCACCTCGTGCTTAGCACCCCAACTCGTAACTCACAAGGGCTCCCTCTAAATTTATTCCCTGTGTTTACGACAACATAGGACCAGGGTAAGAATTCCAGTGTTTAATTTCTGTGCTCCACTCATTGCTAATGATGATGTTCATGATTATTGGAGCTGTTCTAGACATGGCCTTACAATTGTCTAGATATTTAGCAACTAGATTCCACTCAGGAGCCCTGGTAACATAGAGGTTAGGCATTCGGCTGCTAACTGAAAGGTTGGCGGCTCAAACCCTTCCAACAACTCTTCAGGCGAAAGACCTGGTGATTTACTTCCTTTAAGGTTGTAGCCAAGGAAACACTATGGGATGGATTACCTCTGTCCTGTGTATGTCAGTTGTAATGTGGCAGAATTGACTCCAGGGCATGGACCATTGACCACTGTCAGCAGCACTTGTAGGGTTAAAAGAGAAAATCGAAAGGCTATCAGGTAATAGATTAAGATTTTAAAAAAATCAATAAACAACTCGTATAGAAGAGAATTTTCAAGTAGGAAAATACCAGGAGTAGTGGGAGGGACATGAGAGTTCAAAGTAGGAATTGGGTAGATTTAGATGCACTTCCTTGGTTCAGTGTTTTTATAAGAAATTAGTTTTCATTAGTATGGACGTGGGCATCCTGTCCTTTCCAAGCGTTTCATGACAAATGCGTTACTGGCTCACCCGTATGTTTCTGTCCTCTCTGGAAGGTTCTAATAGCAGACTGCATTCCCGTCCTGAAGAGGTACGCCAAAGAAGGGAGAATGTTTGATTATGTGATTAATGATTTGACGGCTGTTCCTATCTCCACGTCTCCAGAGGAAGGTAGATTGGGTTTTGTTTTCTATTTTAACCAAGCTGTGCTTCAGGGAAATGTTTCCCTTGGTACAATGTTGACGGTAAAAGAATCTTGGGAGACCGTCTCATTCAATTTCCTCCTCCTCAAAGGTCTAGGATAGAAACGTTACGAGATTTGGACTTGGCTTTGATTCTTACTCGGCCACTAACTGGTGGCACTAACTCAATCATTTGAAAGCAGAGTCTGATAATTTATTTAAAAGATGACTTATCTATGCCACAATCAAAACAGTTCTCTTTCTGAAAGCACATGTTCTAAAATCAATCATTTTCTGTGGTAATGGTGTTTTTCCCCCTATAAACTTGGCTTCCTGCTGCATCTGCAGACTTGGGTGCAAACGGGTGGCCTCGTGGTTACTCGTACACTTGTCCCTTCCAGTTTTGACCACTGCCCGTGCGACTGCACGCAGTCTGTTTAGACCTTGATTTTGTGTTTGCGTGTGAACGTCTGAACTGCAAAGACTTCATCAGCCACCGTAAAGCTCTTAAACCACCCTGTCTTAAGTTCGTGGCCATGAATCTATTTCCTTGAAATGTTGATTTTGATTTTGTTGTTGCCGTGACAGCAAAGCCATCAGCTCAGCCATTTCTATGTGGGCCACTTAGTGCCACCAATGCCTGCCTGGTGTTGTGGGCTAATCACAAGGTACTCGAAGCCACCAGCCACTCTGAGGGGAAGGATGAGGCTTTCTCCTGCCGGCAAGGGTTGCAGCCTCACAGCCAACCACAGGGGAAGTGCGCCGCTGGCCTGTAGGGTCACTGAGTCGGCACGGACTTGATGGCAGCGAGTTTCTTTCTGTTCCTGCTTTTTGGTGACCTTCTTCAAGTTGTATGACAATTCTCTTTCCTTTTTTAACATAAACCTACTGTCCGCCGAGGTTCTATCTGATATTTCCAGTTGTCAATTAAATCATGAAAGAGTACTGTTCTCAGGGTAGTATTCATTTATTTCTTCGCTTAATTTAAAACATTTATTTAGGCCAAATTTGAAAGTGAATGACTGACTTTCAGTGTTACTTTTGATGCATACACACACACTCATGTTTAATACAGTTGACACACACACCTCTTTCTATTTTATACCCACAGATTCCACCTGGGAGTTTCTCAGACTGATTCTTGACCTTTCAATGAAAGTATTGAAACAAGATGGGAAATACTTTACACAGGTAGGATACTCAACTGTGTGTCTGTGTGTGTTTTGGTGATTACTTTCCAAAAACTCCCAATAAGAACTTTTGTATTTTGAAGTTTGCAATCATATCCTTGACATTTCTGTCTGTTAGGAAGAGAACGGTGTAAATGGATTATGTTCTTTGGAACAGGACTTTTGTACCTGGCTGACGTGTTAGGAAGTGAACATGAGGTCTGTTGTGTCTGGTTGGGAGCTGTGGGCGGGGTGGTGGAGTGGGTTGTTGACCACAACGTCAGCAATGAGAAAACACCAAGCTCACCAAGAGAGAAAGCTGAGATTTTCAAAGTGATTTGCATCCTTGGAGTCCCACAGGGCCAGTTCTACCCAGTCCTAGAGGGTTGCTATAAGTTGGAATCAACTGGATGCCAGTGAGTAAGATGTGTCCAGTTCCAGAGCGCTGGTGGCGCTGTTGGGTCCGTGTTGGACTGCTAAGAGCAAGGCCCACAGTTCAAACCCACTAGCCACTCCAAGGGAGAAAGACGAGGCTGGCTACTCCTGGAAAGATTTACAGCCTGGGAAACCCTGTGAGTCTGGACAAAAAAAATAAATGCAAAGAGTTACAGTCTCAGAAACCCACAGGGGCAGTGGGTTTGGTTTGGTTACCTTTTGATTTAGCAACTTCAGGCACTGGCTGTAGTAAGAGCTGCTGCCACCAGGTGGAGACACAGATTGCGATTTTATTTTTCCCCATTCTCTGGGAGCTCTTTCATCCTAAAGCCCATTTATTGACGTGGTGTGAGCACCTGCCTCTAAATGAAGACATATTATGGGGATTTTGGGTTATTCTCTGATGTTGCCTGTTTGTCATCAGGTCTGCCCCGGACTCATGGGTACCCCGTGCACCAAACCAAAAACCAAACTCACTGCGTCTGTGGGTTCCTGAGACTACTCTATTTTAAAAATAAATATTTATGAATATTATATACATATTTTACATAATATTTATTTTAATATATTTTATATATACTTTACAGTTTTATTGGCACATAATCCATACATCATACAATTCAATCGTTCCATCATATCAGGAAGAATTATACAATCATTACCCCAATCAAGTTGAAAACATTTTCTTTTTCTTTTCTTTTTTCATGGTTAAATTGCTTTTTAAATGAGTTGTATAATCAAAATCAGTTCCATTACTCCTACCCCCCTCCCTCAATCATTTTTTGTTCCCCCAAACCTATCTCCCACCCCCTACTCCTACCTCCCCTGTAAACCCTTGCCGAAGTTAAGAAGTTATCTATTCCCGTGCCTCACAAACTGGAAAGCCCAACAGAAACAATAAGAAACAGAAACAAAGAAGTGGTAAGGGTAAGATAATAATGCAAATAACGAACGAGTAAGAAAGAAAAGGTCACCATCAGTCTCACAGAGCAGCTGGTGGGTTTGAACTGATGACCTGACCTTGCAGTAGCCCAACACATAACCACTATGCCTCGGGGCTCCTGTAACTCCCGCTAAAGGATTGAGTGGGGCTATGCAAATAGGGCATGTGCAACACCATTAGAAGGGATTGTTATCACCCCCCTGACTATCAGGATGAGCCATCTTTGAAGCACTTCTCATCGGGGGCATTTTCTGAAGCTCTCAGTGGGAGGTGTGCCGGTGGTCTGAGTGGCCTGGTAAGTCCCTGCAGTCCTAAAGTGGGTGATTCGTGAAATTCAGCAGGACCGCCCTGCAAACTCCCATGTCTGCCTACAGCTGCCACTGGCGAGGAATAGTCTTGTCTGCCTCCCAGGCCCTCTGCAAGAACCTCCTCTTGGCAGATTAACTCAGCAGCCCTTTAGGAGAAAGGGATGCTGGGAAATGTGCTTTCAGGCATTTCAGCAGTATTAGGAAGAGTAAGATCAGCAGTTGACGTACATTCTCTGTGAAGGGAGCCTATTTGTCATTATCAGAGGGCTCCCACAGGTTTGTGGGAAAATTCCATTCCCCAACACAAACTTTTAGAAGCCCCTCCTTGTATTTTAGACTTTGAGGACCAAATGACCTCTGTCGAAACTACTGAACTCTTTAAAAAGAATCATTTTATTGGGGGCTCGTACAACTCTTAGCACAATCCACACATCCATCCACTGCGTCAAGCACATTTGTACATGTGTTTCCCTCACTATTCTCAAAACATTTGCCTTCTACTTGAGCTCTTGGTATCAGCTCCTCATTTCCCCCTCCCTCCCCGCTTCCCCCTTCCCCATGAACCCTTGATAATTCATAAGTTATTATTATTTTGTCATGTCTTACATTGTCTGACGTCTCCCTCCCTTTACCCACTTCTCCGTTGTCTGTCCCCTAGGGAGGAGGTTATATGTAGATCCTTGTGATCGGTTCCCCCTTTCTCCCCCACCTTCCTTCCACCTTCCTGCTATCACCACTCTCACCACTGGTCCTGAGAGGATCAGCTGTCCTGGATCCCATGTGCTTCCAATTTGCCATGGCTTGACCCCTGAGAAATCGGATTTATTGAAATTCCCAGGCTCAGTTTCCCAAATTATAAACGGGTGTGAGTAACAGGCGGGGAGTGGGGGTGGGCCACATATGTGACCTCCTTGGGCTACACAGGGAGGAGGAGAATCCATTTACTGGTCAACCCCAGACTGAGGTCCAAGGCCAGACATGCCTTCATCGCTCCATCTTCCTCTCCCCTATTCTGACAGGGAACGCTCCTCCCACGGTACTCCACCTTTCTGCTGGGCTTGATAACTCCTTGCCATGGCCACACAGAACTCACAGACAACGCTCACAATTCGGGAGGTTTATTCGGAATGTTAACAGTTGATAGTAATTAACAGTAAACCTACAGTCATTGGTCCCGAGCAACACCTCTCCTCAACTAGCAGTCAGGTCTTCAGTCTCTGCCCACGGGCTGCTCTCCCTCCCACAGTCTCAGCCGCACTGCTTCTCTGCCCTGTCTCGTGATCTCCTTGCCCCAGGCTCTTGTCGCAGAGTGGTGGCAGCTCTGTGGCCTTGCCACTTTGGGCAGGGATTTCCACCGGGCTTTGTTGGTAGCTCTTCATCCATGGTGGTCTTAGGAATTCTGTGTGCCCCGGCTTCGGAGATGGTGGTCTGATATGCAGGGGAGTGGCAACCAAAGCTGACCAATCCCCTCTTAGTGTTTCACACACCCTACTGGCACAGTCCTACTCAGTCAGTTGGCGAGCCTTACAGGGCCACGCACAGAAGAACCATCTTAAGAAATTTCACTTCACTGCAAGGTGAGGTCTCTTTTATGTTGCTCTTTGTGGGTAGTTTAGAAAGGATAACTACGAGTGCCTTGTATATACTTAATAACTTCCTCTTTTATTGTCTTACCTGGGCACGTATTATTTGGGGGCAAGTTATTATGTATATGTTTTGGGAAATAATCCAGTCCCCCTCCCTTTTTAGTTTTTTTTAAAAAGGGTTGGGTGGGTCAGTGTAATACATCTTGATAAGAAGTGGGGGGCGGGGAAATATACCAAAGAGCCAAGCAAAATTGGCATAGAGGAAACCCCCCCCAATTTCTACAATTTGGGGTGATCTTATGTGTCCTGTTTCCGTGCTTAATGCACTAGGAACATTTTTAGTTATTATTCCTCAGAAACATGATTTAAGCATTTATTGTTCATTCTATATCTTCTTTCACACGTCTACCTTAGGCCTCTACATTAACTCCTATAGCCACATAACAAGATACACGTGTCTACATAAACATTTGGGCATTTGTGGGAATTTAATCCACAGAAAACCTAACAACAACAACGAAAAACCTAACCAAACACTGCCATCGCGTCAGTTCCAACTTATATCAAGTTTACAGGACAGAGTCCGTGTTGGGTTGAAAACCACCAGCTATTCTGTGGGGAAAAGATGGGCATCTCTATACTCCCATGAACAGTGACAGTTTCAGAAAGTCACAGGGGCAGTTCAACCCTGTCCTGTTGGGTCGCTATAGGTCGGTATTGACTCAAGGGCAGTGAATTTGTCCTTCGGTTATAGGACAGAGTAGAACTGCCCCTGTGGTTTTCTGAGGCTACCAATCTCTTGAGGAGTGGCTGATGGGTTTGAACAGCTGAAGTTGTAGTTAGCAGCTCAAGGCATAAGTCACTATGCCAGATGTGCAGTTGGTAGGTTGTAGAGCCTGCCAGTTGCTGTGTGTTTCTGGAGGACAGACTGGTCCTAGCCCCCTGCGTCTACTTGGGTGCATTCTCAAGAATGCACACTGGGTGGTGCCCTTCTAAAACCTTTTCGTGGTTGGAAAGGCGTTCTTTCCTGGAGTCGCATTGCTTTTAGTCTTTAATGAAGCTGACTGGCCATTTGAATTTGCCTCTACCCTTTGTTCTTCTGTTTGAGTATTAATCGTGGTGCTTGGCAAGAATTCTTTATGTTCCTAGATGATATTCCCTTGATGTTTAGAACTGATCTAAAAGAAGAAAACAAAACAGACAAGCCCAGCCCACATCTGATTCTAAAGCACGGGCTTGTGAATGACAGGCCACATCTGCCCTGGCTGTTGTCAATGAAGTTGGATTGGGACATAGCCGAGCGCACCGAGCTACATTTCCTCTCTGGCTGCTTTCATACAACAGCAGAGTTGATTGGCTGCAGGAGAGACTGTGGTGCACAAAGCCTTAACTATTTACTCTCTGGCCCTTGACAGCCAGAATTTGCTGAGCGCTGCTTTAAGGAAATCTAGACGGAAAATGGCTCAGTGAAAGATTCTTGTTATAAAAGCGGCCCAGCTTCCATGGTGGTGGTGTTTGTTTGTGTAGGCTTTATTATTGTTTTTATTGTGAATGCATATTTCTCAAAGTGGAACCAAACCCAATCCACCGCCAAGTCAGTTCTTGCCCATAACAACTCTATAGGACAGAGCAGGACTCTAGAATTCCCAAGGCTGTAAATCTTTATGGCAGCGGGCTTGCCTCATCTGCCGCCCATCAAGTGATGGCTAGGCTCGAACCTCCCAACCCTTTGGATTTGCAGCGGAGTGCC